TTCCTCCAATCACACACACAAAAAAAAACAACATAACAATTCAAACAATACACAAATAATAAAACATACATATACACTGTACATTGATTTTACCTCTCCGTGGCTGTACAGAACACACATATATAAACGCTTATGAATAAGGATTATGGATTTTAGAGACTTCAGTGAGCTACAAGTCATAGACAGAGTTACAAGTTACACTCACCCTCCTCATCCGCCCGTTAGACATGATGTCACCAATCCCCTTGGCAGCATCGTTTTTCTCCGCCACGCACAGCACTTTCTTGACAGGAATCCTCAGGGACATGATGGAGGATTTCTCAGAGCAGAAACGGACGCCGCTTGTTTTCAGGATCTTAAGTCTGCGGAACGCCAAAACACCTCTACCGAAAATCATCACGGAAGCAGCAAGCGGTACTTGGGACCCGCGAAAGTCATGGCTGCGCCTGCTGTATCGGATGGCCGATGAAGACGAGGATTTCAGGGATACCTGCAATGATAAAAAGGATGTGTGAGAGAGCGATCTAAAGGGACAAGCTGACATTAGCGAGCATGCTGCTACCGCTATCAGCCGCCAATGCTGGCCACAAGCATCATTTTTTCCTGATCCTTTTATTGACGCAATCTCTTACTGCAACATATTCTGTTTTCTGTGCAATTCCACCAAAATTAAACACAGCACAACGCTGCCTCCTTTGATTCCACAGTTTCCTTTGCTGACCCCAATGTCAAAACAACACACAACAGTGATGTAAGGGGTCGTGGCGCTGTGGTCCCTCTCCTCAATCCCTACATCAGTAAGGGTTCTATAGTGTCATAGAGGTCAGCGGGAGAATCCAAAATGCCTAACAGTCTGTAAAGTTTTTTTAATGCCATCTGTGTCCTCATTGGAGACTTGCCGTCACTTCCTGTCTCAGTGACACCTGCATCCTCTTATTTCTTGTCCTAATGTTACATGGACAGGAAGTAATGCTATGTCTCCAATAAAAACAAAGGACAAGAAATAAGAAGGGTGCGGGTGTCACCAAGACAGGAAATGAGGGTCCATCTCCAATAAGGACACCGGACAAGAAATAAGAGGGGCCAGGTGTCACCAAGACATGAAGGGAGGGTAAGTCTCCAATAAGGACACAAGACCAGAAATAAGAGGGGGCGGACTCACCAAGGTAGGAAGTGAGGGCAAGTCTCCAATAAGGACACAGGACAAAAAATAAGAGGGTGCAGGTGTCACCAACACAAACAGCAACAAAAACCTTACTTTTGTTCTGTCTCTGTCCCCATCAGAGAAATCCAATCACTTACTGTCCTTGTCACACCTGGTCACCGTGACAGGAAGTCAAGGAAACTCTCCTCAATGGTGTGAAAACTAAGACGTGTTGGGCGGATTTATCCATTTAAATAAAAGCTAAACCCTGATCCCAAAATGACCCCTGTGGTTTTGCCCAATGCCCCAACCCGATATATTTCCTCCATGCTGCTGTAATAATACACACTGCATAATGTCCACTGTTTACTCCTGAGCTGCTCTCCCGCGCGATCCCTTCAAGTTCTCGGCGAAATGTCCCTGCGCTCTCTCCGTAGAAGTCGGCTGCAACTGGCTAACGTCACGTGACCAAGGCCGGACCACAAGTCCCGACATGCATTGCTCTACTCGTTTACCGAAATCACGCGCTGCGAGAGATTTGGGAGGCTGGCAATGGTTGCCGAGCATTTCCAGAGGCCGCACCGTATCCGTCCCATCATTTGTTTGTATTGACAGCGGCTACAACAGCCGATGTGGAGGGATTTTCCCCCGACGCATGACGTCACCCACCGCAGGGAAATTGCTACATGTCACGTGACCACAGAAGAGCAAAGCACAAAATGCGCTGTATATGGCTTCCCCAGGAAGAGAGTTGACCTGCCAATAAGTGTCACGTGACCGTGTTTTGCGAGCCTTTCTTGGAGTCACGTGACGACCATGGAACTACATTTCCCGGCACTCATCGCTTCGCTGTGTTATTGCAAATAGACTCTGGGAGGGGTTTGCGTGCTCGGCTACGGACAGAGTGGATTCATTGAAGCCGGCTTGTCTCAGCCAACGCGACAGGTTGCAGGTGAAGGCTGCGGAGCTCGGTTGAAAGGGGTTCTCCTCATGAGTGTGACGTCAAGGGGAGGTCATGTGGTCCGTCCTCCAACATGGCGTCCCCCCTGTGAGGTAGAGCAGGTTCCACTTACTGATTGAGGAGAGGAGCTCAGGGCTCCCCCCAGAGGGACAAGTATGATCGGTTCCCCAGACCTGATGGCTTTCACAAGGGGGGACGAGTATGATGAGCCCGCCATGAGGGTCTCACCCGGGCTGCCGGAGGAGTATTCGGTGCCCCTCTTCCAGTACTCGGAGGCAGAGAGCAGCCCTTGGTCCCGCCTTTCCGGAGCCAAATTCAGCCGCGACTTCGTCCTCATCTCCGAATTCTCTGAGCAAGTGGGGCCGCAGCCGCTGCTGACCATCCCCGACGACTCCCGTGTCCGCGGCACCTTTGACCTGAACTACTTCTCCTTGCGTATCATGTCTGTGGACTACCAGGCCTCCTTCGTCGGGCACCCACCGGGTTCCTCCTACCCCAAACTCAACTTCGTCGAGGACTCCAAAGTCGTTCTGGGCGATTCCAAAGAGGGAGCCTTCGCCTACGTCCATCACCTGACCCTGTACGACCTGGAGGCCCGCGGCTTCGTCCGACCCTTCTGCATGGCTTACATTTCCACCGACGAGGAGAAGATCATGCAGCAGTACCTGGAGCTCTCTGGGGACTTCTCCAAAGCATCCGACTGCCTGAAGACGGGCAACCGCAAGGCCTTCGCCAACGAGCTGGAGAAGAAACTCAAAGACTTGGACTATACCCGGTCGGTGCTGTTGGCGGAGATGGAGGATCAGCAGAAGACTGACGACAAGGGCTTTTACACGACTCAGGCCATCGAGAAGGCCAACGAGTTGGGCAACGTGGAAAAGTCCATCATTGAGCACCAGGATTTGCTGAAGCAGGTCCAGCTGTATCCCTACCGGCATCTAAAAGGCGAGGATTACCAGCCCTACGTGCCGGAAAGCGTCCATGATGAAGCGGCAAACGGCACATCCGAACCGGTGGTAGCTTCTGACCATGAAGAGAACGACGATGCTGAAGAATTTACTCCGGGACCTTCTTACACTCCCAAGTTCATAAAGGCGAAGTCTTCCAAATGTTTCGATAAAAAATTGAAAACGTTAGAGGAGCTCGTGGACGTTTATTTCTTCACGCAGACCATAGACCTGCTGACCGGCATCGAGAAAAGATACAGAGGCGACGTCAGCTATTTGTTGATGGGCCACCGCGACCGAGCTCTGTTGGAGCAGCAGACTATAGTCAACTTTTTGTTCGAAGATGCGTCAGCCTGGGATTCGAAGCTAGTCGATCGGCAGTATTCGGACAACTTGTTGCCCGCTCAGACTATACCAAGCTCCGGTCAAGAACCTGAAAACCTCAAGCCTTCAGTGAGCTTGGAATCCTACAAGTCCAGCGTGGAGTCTGTCCATATTAAAATCGAGCAGGAGTTGTTTAACAATGACGAAGACGGGGAGGTCACCGAGTCATCCGCCTGTGATAACCCAGGGAACATGGACTGTCTCGATGTGGATACTAAAGGGAGCATAAGCAGTGGCGAAAGCATTGAGGTCTTGCAGACCGAAAAGTCCACCGTGCTGATCCATTCGGAGAGCCAGCCGTGCGTGGGGTTCAATACTAGTCCTCAGCCTCCCAGAAGAAAAGCCGGCAGCAGGCGAACCATCAGCGAGGACAGCATAGAAGTCCTCAGCACCTGTCCTTCCGAAACTGTGATCCCTGAAGATTTTCGGGCAACGTACCAAATAGCCATCAATGAAGAAGACCCCCTTGTGGAAGATTTAGATAGGGAGCAGCAGGTCGAGCGAGGCTCTCCAGAAGCAGATCCCTTCGAGAATGACGAAGCCGAGAATGATTTGGCTATGGAGCCTCCATGTTGCATCCGGACAGACAGCTCAAGTCCAGAGGATCAGACTGGAGACCTCGTTCCTGAACAGTTTGATGACGGCACGGTGGTTAGCACCCCACCACAGCCATGTAAAAACATGGGCCAGAACTTTGGTCAGGTGAAGTTCTCAATTGATCATGTAGAAAACGCTTGTAGCGAACCAGTGGCGGCTCCGGAATCCAGTTACTTGTTGAGCAGCAAAGATGCCGAGAAAATCACACTGGACGAGTACTCGGACTCGACCAGTTATAGAAGTAGCGCGTCAACGTGCTCTGACCGGACGCCTTCCCCGCCTCCTGTCATCACTGTCACAGACAGGCAGAAGCGGAGAGCTGGCCAAAATGCGCTAATGTTCATCAGACAGTACCCCTTTTCCCATCCCGCCATCTATTCTATTTTGAGTGGGAGGACTCTTGTGGTCCTGGGTGAGGAGGAGGCCTTCGTGAAAAGACTAGTCACTGCTTTGTCTCTGTTCGTCCCTAACTATGGACATGTTGCCAAACCGATAAAGCCATGGGTGACGTCGCCTCTACACATCATGGATTTCCAGAAGTGGAAACTGATTGGGCTTCAGAGGTAAAGAAAGCATGCATGTTTTATCTTGACAGGGATGGCCAAACCCCCTCAGCTATTTAAAGTGACACCAAACTCGGGAATCAAATCTTAAAAATGCATTCAAGTTCCTTAAAGGAGAACTATGAGGCGAGTGCTTTCCACTCAACTCATAGTTCTAGCCGACCTGTGACAATGAGACTGTCACAGGTCGGCTCAGTAGATCGGGAAGTGAGGGAACACATACCGGCGTTCGCTCACCTCCCGATCCTGTCACGGTTCTCTGGCGGAACGGACGGGGAGGGGGCGGGTACAGCTGGCTCTGCCTCTAGATAGGCAGAGCCAGCTGTCACTCACGCAGCTGGGCGGATCCAGACATAATTGTCGGGATCCGCTTCAGCTGCGCCGTCTCGCTATACCGCGAGCAGTAGCTTACGGTATACTGTGGCGTCTCAGTATACCGTGAGCTGTAGCTCGCGGTATACTGAGCTTAGGGTGACGGGAGGACGCTAGTTTGTGTCCTCCCGTTACCCTAAGGAGAACTATGGGGAAAAAACTTAACCCCATAGTTCTCCTTAACTATTAACAACAATAGGGGGAATTGCTCAAATCTGGAACAGTTGCCCATGGCAACCAATCAGCATCTCTCTTCAGTTTGCTCAGGTAAGATTTGAAGATGAGACTGAGAAGCTGATTGGTTGCAGTGCAAATCTGCTCCAGTTTTGATAAATTCCCCCCCCCCCCCAATGTATCTTTTTTTTTTTTTCCTCGGATCACTCGGCTGTAGATCCTCAAATCATCTCTGAATTGGTGCTGACACTGTCCTTCCTTCTGGAGGGGGGCTACTTTTGTTCACCATGTTTTGTGTGTGTTGTAAAGTAGTCACCGCTTTAAGCTCACTCCTGTGAAAAACTACAATCTCAATACAAATTAGTAAACTAAACATGAGATTGTAGTCCATCCCGGGAGTGAGCTCAGAGCGGTGACTACTTCACACCACACACAGGGACCATGGGGAACAAAAGTAGCCACCCTCCAGAAGGAAGGACAGTGTCAGCACCAATTCAGAGATGATTTGAGGATCTACAGCCGAGTGATACACAAATAGGATACATTTTTGTTAATAGTTAAGGTACCTGAATTTATTTTTAAGATTTAACTCCGGAGTTTAGTGTCACTTTAACTCTTGCGGTGCGGGGTAGCCCCCCTGGGAGGGTTAATGTTTACAGGCCTAGAGTTGTACTTTAATGTTCCTCGGGGTTGGAAAGAGGCTGAGCTCTCATATGTGAACTCTCTTCATGGAGTTCTGCACTTCTGAATGAAAAACAAATGTTGTTTTAGATGTGTAAGTTCCACTATGAGTCACCGTTGGAGCAGAAAGAGGAAGTGTGATCACGCTAAGTGTCTGCAGTAGTAGCTGGGATTGTGTACTACAGTCCACTGGACGGGGTTTACTCATGTGAGCAAGCCTCTGACGTGTGACTAAACCCAGTAATGTCAGTGTATTATATTGGAGCTTACTGGTCCGTACATGAGGTGTCTGCATGACTTTTTTATTTAATTTTTTGCTTTATATTCACCTTCACTTATATGGGAAAGCAGCGTTGTCACCCTAGAATACGTAGTTTGTTGAGACTACAGAACACCATCCCCTTCGCCTCCATAACATAGTCAGAGATGTGCTGTAATTCACAGACTATAAACTGAGCAGGACTGATACAATTATTTAGGATTTGGGGTGCATTCACATGGAAATCGGAAGTCAACGGAAGGCCCATTGATTTGCAATTGTACCTTCCAATTTCCTTCCAATCCGTTGCATTGCGATCTGTTTTTCAACAGATGGGCACCGAAAAATGAATGGGTGTAAATGGGGCCAGTTCACACGGGATCCGTTGCGTTACATTGCACTGAAAAAAGTAGTGCATGGTCTATTTTTTTTCCCAGTGCAATGGAACGGAGCGGTGTGAACTAGCCCCATTCATTTTTCTGTGCGCAACACAATGGATTGCAATGCGACGGATCTGGTGTGAATGGGCCCTTAAAATGCGTTTCCACTTTCTACAATCTCCATACAAATTAGTAAACTAAACATGAGATTGTAGTCCATCAGAGGAGCGAGCTTGGAGCGGTGACTACTTTACAACACACACAGGTACCATGGGGAACAAAAGTAGTCACCCTCCAGAAGGAAGGACAGTGTCAGCACAAATTCGGAGATGATTTGGGGATCTACAGCCGAGTGATACACAAATAAGATACATTGTTATTTATAGTTAAGGTACCTGAATGCATTTTTAAGATTTAACTCCTGAGTTTAGTGTCACTTTCAAGTTGGCCGTACATGGCACAGTTTAGGCAAGCATGGTGACCGATTGCTTTTGTCAGTTCGGTCATGTAGAAGTGCGGTGATGAGCTCTTTTAATAATTGTTAGGGATTGTCCTCACCGAATCGTGTTAGACGTTCTCTTTGTGACAGCCGACTGTTCACCTTTCAGTGGAGAAAAAGAAATAAAGCTTTCATTGTTCAAGGACAGGCCGCTGTCTCACTGCCCTTTTTGTTCTTGGTGAGACATCCGGCTTTCTACGCTCACGCGTACCTTAGGTTGCTGTTCTCTGGGCCTAAGTATACGTTGCTGCTGGAGATACAAGATTGTCAAAAAGTACTTGAGCTTCTTTTTCGCGCGTAGGGGCAGATTTCAGCGCGTATCCATTGGTATTCCCGAGTGTGGCTCGGGGGGAACAAAGCGGTAACCCCCGAGCCACACTCGGGAATACAGCGTAGGTCTTACCTTGTCCGCGATCCCCGCTGTGTCCTCCGGCCGCTTCCGGGTTCCGTCCCTTGCGAGCATCCGCGTTGCAAGGGGGCGGAACCCGCGGGAAGTTTAAAAAAAAATCACACCGCCAGGGAGGTTAAAAAACGAGCGTCGAACGCGCGTTTCATTGGAGAAAAAATGTGCTTATAAAACGCGCCTATTAGGAACGGCCAGGTGTGGACCCAGCCTTATAGTTACAGAGGTGTGATGCAATACTCTGAATCTAGGACGGTAATGATTTCATACACCCACGTTACTCTGTGAGTAATGATCTTCCCTCGTATCTCTGTGGCTGGCAGGGTAGTAGAGCCTGTCTGTTGCTTATATGAGGAAGAACCTGACACTGGTCGCAAATAGCCATCCAACCTAAGCTGGAGATCATAAAAAAACTGCAACTCCTGTGAAAGTTGGACAGGTTTACCAACGTTTGTCCCATCGCTGTTGCAAAGATATATGGTGTCAGTAGCTTCCGGACGCCCTCCAGCTCTCCACAAGCATAAACTTCTATGGCTGTGGTGGAGCCAGTTGTAGGTGTTTATACTGCATATGTGTCACGTACATGATGCAAGCCTGAGATGACAAGGAGGACCTTCCCTTGCAGCACAGGTCCGAGCACCTCTGAGAATGAGACAGAGGGTGGAGGGACTGCATGAGGCACGGGCAATGCTAGGTAGAGATGCTTAGGACACCAGGACAGGTCACCAGGCAGGTAGTCAGTCGGAAGCATGCAGAGTATATGAAGCAGAATCAGGGCCGAGCCGGGTCACCAACTAGTGTGCAGTGCAGAGTCTGAAGGCAGAAGCTGAGTCGGGACGAGCCGAGGTCAAGCCACGCAGGGAGAAGCAATCCCAAAGCAGCGGATAAGAGGCGGAGTAATGGAACAGGCCGAGGTCAGGGGCAGGTGGGAGAGCAGCAGAGTCAGAGGATCAAGCCGGGTCAGATGCAGGAGCAATCAGGAGTCAGGAAGCAAACGCTGGACACTAGCTGAAGAACTCTCAGCACTGAGTTATGCAGAATGGCACCATGATCAGATGTGAAAGTGCGCAGCGTTGCTTTTGTACACGTGCATGTTCATCTGCACATAGGCGCACGGTTATGCGCAATGTTGGCACCAAACCATCTCACACGCATGCACAGCGGCTCTCACAGTACCTACGCTTGCTTGCTGGATTTCCCTGACGATATGCCATAGACAGTACAGTGGTTCTATGGTTGGCTCATGATTGGAAAAAGCTAGGGAAGCACAGTCTTCATAGAATGTTACTTTAAAGAGAACCTGTAACGTGGAAGCAATTAGTGCCCAAAGAAGGCAAGTAGAGACCTAAGGAGTATTGCCAGTAGGTTTCCTTCAACTGATCTTTTACCCAATGCTGACTTACCATGCCTTGTGACTCATTGTGTTTCTCTGTGAAGGTGGCCATCTTGGTAGAGGAGCAGAGCTTTACTTCATCATTTCAGAGCTGCCCTCACTGACTGGTGGGAGATGCTGTAGGACAGGTGGAGGCAGCAGATCAACTGTGATCTCCCTGCAGCTGATCGATTCCCCCTTACTGACCTAATATGCCTGGTTCCATCTCTCTGTGGAGTTGGTCCTCTTGGTAAAGGCAGGGCTTTACTTCCTTGTGTAGGAGCTGCCAACCTCTCACACCCCCCATCCTGACCGATGATAGTATCAGAGAAGCAGCAGCAAAGATCAGATCCATGGAATGCATGATCCAGAAGCAGGGAGGTCCTTGCACTGCAGGTCCTCAGGGACATCTTCCTTTCCAGCAAAGAGAACATTTAGCAGTACAGTAGTGAAATCACCAAATCTGGGTAGACTAGTAGAGGCAGCAACGCCTTAGATGATCACACACTGCAGATATACAGCTATACAGAGTGTCTAGACGCAGTTCCACATCAGGAAGTACACAGCTATGTTCTAGGAGGAATTCAAGACAAAAAGTACATCTTTTAGGGGACAGTTAACATTTCTAGATGCTCCCTAAAACATATCAAATCATCAGGTCCACTTTAATGACGTCTGTTTCTTTCCTAGAGGGGTCACCTCGTCCGGCTGCAACACCCTCCATTCTTTGAACCGCTACAGCCGCTACGTCAGCATCTTGGACGCCGACAACAAAACTCTCCGTTGCCCCGTGTACAGGGGAAGCCTCCTGCCCCGGCTGGCTGACCACCGTACTCAAATCCGAAAAGGCATCACCTACTACATGCACGTACAGAGTATGCTGAGCCAGCTCAGCGCCAAAGCCTTCATTTTCACCTTCTGCCAACGAGTCCACCTGGCCACGGAGGAAAAGGAGAGTGAGGAGTCTATCGCACAGCGTCGGTCTGACTTCCTCCACCAGCGGCTTGGCCTGTCTCAGGAGGACGCTAGAATAGTAGAATACCTCTCGGAGCTCCTGAAAATGCATTACCTAAGGGAATCGGGGACGCAGCTCCTTCCTGTGCTCAGGTTCGACTATATCCCGAGCTTTTTATACAAAATTTGACCGCTGGGGCGGCAATGTAGAAGTATATCCTCCCGGGGAGACTTGTGGATGTCTAAACGACTCTTGAAGCATGATTATTTTGCACCATAAGCTGGAACAGAGTTTATATATTTTTTTTCCTTTGGTTGTCCTACTTCAATGTTGTGTATTATTTTTTTGCTGTCTCAGTGCATCGTACTACTGAGGGCCTGGGCTCGACGCACCCAAATGGTATCTGTCGGAGAAACAGTAACTGGATTCAGGGTCGGCAGAGAAGATATCGGGGTTGAGGCCAAGCTTGCTTTTATTTATGTCATAATCAATTACATGTAGGACAAAGGATCCCGTTTCAATGTCTGTGCACTAAATTGGGGGCGGTGGGGGAAATACGTAGGTAAGGCTGGGCGCAGGTGGGCACATTTTGTTTTAAATCCATCTCAGGTCTAGGATGCATTCACACCAAAATCGGGAGGAAATTGCAAGTCATCGGAAGGTTTGCAATTGTACCTTTTGATCCGTTGCACTGCGATCCGTTTTTCAACGGAGGGTAACGAAAAGTGAATGGGGCAAGTTCACACCGGATCCGCTGATGACTGGTGGGTAGTATCCAAGAAGAAGCAGGAAGGATTGGAGAAAGATCAGCCACGGAAGCAGGGAGATCCTTGCACTGCAGGTCCTCAGGTACAGCTTCCCCTCCAGCAAGGAGAACAGTGAGCAGCGCAGTAGTGACATCACCAAATTTAACTTCGTATCCAAAGTAGAACTGTATGTTTTCCTTTTTTTCTTCTTCCGCGGAACGGAGAGGTGTGGACTAGCCCCATTCATTTTTTGGTGTCCTTCCGTTACCATCCATTGAAAACCAGATCGCAACACAATGGGTCCGGTGTGAATGGGCCCTTAAACACTGCAGAAAGTTCATGACCTCATTTTATTCATGCGATCTCTGCGGTCCTACAACTTGTGATTGAGCGGCTGATTTTCCTGCTGTGTGACCAGAGCATGTCCTGAGTATGCAAGATATTTTCTCACACTGCCGTGCTCTATGCTGGCAGAGCTGAGTAACAGCCATACCCCTCATCATGCGTCCTCGCATATGTCTGTATTGCAGAGGGAAAAGTAGAGGGGGTGTCTGACCAGGTCTTTTTGTATGACTGAGTGTACTGGGTCGGACTCTGATGCTCATTACACTGCACGCTCCCCTATAACAAGGCAGGAGAGGTAAGACTGAGGCCGCTAGTACAGGGTCTATCTGACTGCATAGCTATTGTTGTGACTTCAGAAAGCTTGCACATCTGGGCGTTGTTATCCAATCACCTTGTCCCCGAAATCCAGTAAAGGCTGTTAGACGCACAATGTCTCCTCATCACCTATGCCATGCATATGCCTAGTGCCATGGGACTGGGCCAGGGGTAGGCAACCTCAGTCCTCCAGCTATGGTGAAAGCACAAAAGCCGTCATGCCCCTGAGAGTCATGTCTGTGGCTGTCAGAATCTTGCAATGCCTCGTGTGACTTGTAGTTCCTCAACAGCTGCCGAGGTTGCCTAACCCTGCACTAGGCCTTTAAATGTTGCACACATGGGAACTCTCCAGCTGCCACACAAGGCCAGCTGTTTGCTTAATGTGACCTAGCAGTGGTCTCTTATGACGGAGATCAGGAATGAAGCCTGTTAACCATTAATTTATTGCCTTGTGTCGGGCAATACCGTCCAATGGGCACTGAGATTGTGACATGCTTTCTTCAGTCTGAGCTCGGGAATGTGACACCTTAGTGTGCTATTGGATAGGAAAGCTCTTCTATAGCTTAGAAGGGACTGCTGCAACCAGCCTGCATATATCGGTGCTACATATGTCACTTCCCGCATGTTGGTTGCAGCAGTCCCTTCTATCGGTGCTACATGTGTCACTTCCTGCACATAGGTTGCAGCAGTCCCCTCAGTCAATGCTACATGTATCACTTCCTGCACATTAGTTGCAGCAGTCCCTTAAATCAATGCTACATGTATCACTTCCCACACATTGGTTGCAGCAGTCCCCTCAATCAATGCACCATGTATCACTTCCCACACATTGGTTGCAGCAGTCCCCTCAATCAATGCTACATGTATCACTTCCCACACATTGGTTGCAGCAGTCCCTTCAATCAATGCTACATGTATCACTTCCCACACATTGGTCCCCTCAATCAATGCTACATGTATCACCAGCCCTGTGTTGTATTATATTAGCCGACCTGCTGGCAATACCATGTGGAATTTGATTTGGTCACCTTTGCCAACGTATGTGACTGTGATGGAAAGTCGGTGGCCCGAGGGTGCTATGAGCCATGTCACTGTTGCAGTACACTCCACTTATCATGAACAAGCCTCGGTGATCTCAGTGACGACTGGAAGTCAGTCTCTTGTGTTGTGAATACAGCTACATAGGGATCAGAGCTGTGTTTGGGAGGCCTCACTGTGAAACCAGCATCAACATGAACACCTGCTACACGGCAGAAGCCAAGTCTGGTCTCCTGAGACCTCAGACTGCTGAAACCTAACAAGCCGTGTTCTGTTACTTGCCATATTTGTTTTTAGTTTGCACGGATGTAGTTATCAGGCTGATGCAGCTTGATGGCAGATACACCCATTGTACTTTGATATCTGTCGGTGGGTGCAGGAAGGTCTCTGCTTTGCTTTATGGGGAATGGAGGCTGCTTAATATAGAACAGCTCCATGCTGGGACCGTATCTACAGGTTCACAGAGATGGCCAAGTGCTGCACCAAGAGCTGCACTAGAAGTAGATAATGTTTAAAGCAGGGGTAGTCGAACATTGGCCCTCCAGCTGTGAGGAAACTATGTACATCTGCCTCTGGGAGTCATGGCTGTGGCTGTCAGTCTTGCAATGCCTCATGGGATTTGTAGTCCCACAGCTGATGGAAGGGCAGAGTTTGCTACCCTTGGTTTAAATGATAATTGCAGAGTAAAGCTAAGTGCATTTGGCCTTTCTGTCCTCTACCCCCTAAACAGATCCGGACTTACCGAGATCCAACCAGGATGGTTCCTCTCTTGTTAACATTCCAGTGCTGCTTTGCTCCCTCTGCTGGCCGCACCTGCATATTACAACCCCGTAGAGAGAGACGCTTACATGGCTCGATGTCAACAGAGGAGAAGCGGATCTTGGTAAGTACAGATCTGTGGAGGGCAAGGGTGAGATCCAAAAGGGGCAAAAAGAAGTGCACAAAGAGGTAAATGAAGGATCTCCTGCACCCGCTGAAGTATGTTGAAGTAGAGGCGATGTCCTGAGTGCCAGGTTGTCCGGGCCCAGTGCCTGTATATACAAAACTAATAGCTAAAGAGATATGTACATTATAGCTCCCATTGTCTTATCTTCCTTGGAGCGATTGTATGTGCCAAACTTTGAAAGCTGTGACTTATTAACTAAAAAGGGAGTTTATGTCGGAATTTTACTTTGTTTTTGTTTTATGAAAGGGTCAGGCCACCCAAAACCAGACAGCTTCCTTTATGGTGGATGCTGGAGAGGTAAGGGACTCCAGTGACGAGTTCTTTGGATCCAGTGTATTTCAGGAAGAGGTCTCTTTTCTTCCCGCTGCATCTTTTTAATTTATTTTGTATGATGATGCAACTGGATTAATAAGAAGAACCGAAAGTGGGGTGCAGACCCCCAGAAATCTCAGCTGGGCTGGAGCAATGGTGGTGAGTTGACGTCACATTTGCTTCCATGATAGGAAGAAGCCGAGGGGGGACCAGCCCTTCAGATATCACCTATTAGGGAAAGATCTTTCTTGGGGGGACAGAGCCTTTAGATTGATTTGTGCTGATCTCTCACTTCTCTAAGGCCTTGTTCACAAGGGGGGTACTGGCAATCCCATGTAGATGCTGCCACTGTGCCTGTCAAGCTACTGACCGGGTGACAGCAGCCCCATCTGTAAGCAGCACTCTGCATGTAATCGTATGTGTCAGGATTCCATATAGTTCGGAATAGATCACTATCCCTGGTTGCAGGACAGATGCATCCAGCCAGTGGCGTCACAAGGGGGGGTGCGGCCAGCACTGGGTGACACCATCAGAGCTGTCACCCCACCCTCTGAAAAGTTGGGCACTCAGTCATGGACTGAGAGCCCGGCAGCTGCACGAGAGAGGAGGGGACCTGGCAGCATGCCTGTTCCCGCAGGATAAACGTCCCCTCCTCTCTTTGCCAGCGTCTATCACCAAGATGGCCGTCAGCAGTGGAGTGCACATGAGGCCATTAAGCATGTACGTATATGAATGTAAGTGTATCACATATATTTACATACAGACTACCGCTTACAGATGCGGCCGCTGTCACCCAGTCATTAACTTGGCAGGCAGAGCGGCCCCATCTAAACAGGACACCTGGGATTCCAGCCGCAGGAACGCCAGAACCCCCCCATGTGTATCAGGGCCCATTCACACCACAACTGGGTGCGCGGAGACATTTAGGACGCCCATTCACTTTAATAAATTACTACTACTGTACTACTTGCTGAGCAAAACGCGTTGGCTGGTGGAGGCTCAGGTGACTTTGCCGCTTGCACCAGATGGATTAATACATATTTATATCGGTTTTTATCTTGGAGCGCGGCTTCCCTTTTCTCTCCAATGATTAGATCCAGGACGATCCTGCAGTGCACAGAACATTTGCATGTGTGCCTTGTGGGGCGGGTGCGTTGCGGTGCACTGTAGGTGTGCTTCAGGTGCCAACTTATAGCAACGCACCACAGACTCCATCAACGTACATTACCGCACTGTCTGTTGTGATGTCATTGTCTCTATAATTGCTTTGGAGGCCTCAGACTGACCAAACACGGCCAAATAACTAGAGACAGTTGAAGAATCTGTTGTGCCAGTCACGGTGTTGATGAATTAGCAATAACACTCTCGCATCATCAGTTTATCGCTTGTAGAAATTTTCAAACATTGCAAATTCCAGATTTCATTGTGTGTGATCTCAGGCAGAGCAGAAAGGAGGCGGCAGTAGGCGATCTCAGGCAGAGCAGAAAGGAGGCGGCAGTAGGCGATCTCAGGCAGAGCATGAAAAAGGCGGCAGTAGGGGATCTCAAGCAGAGCATGAAGGAGGCGGCAGTAGGTCTCAGTACCTCAGGCAGAGCAGGAAGGAGCTGGCAGTAGGCGATCTCAGGCAGAGCAGAAAGGAGGCGGCAGTAGGTCTCAGTACCTCAGGCAGAGCAGAAAGGAGGTGGCAGTGGGCTATCTCAGCCAGAGCAGGAAGGAGGTGGCAGTAGGCGCTCAGGCAGAGCAGGAAGGAGTTGGCAGTAGGCGCTCAGGCAGAGCAGGAAGGAGGTGGCAGTAGGTGATCTCAGGCAGAGCAGGAAGGAGGCGGCAGTAGGT